TCAACTGTTGTCAAACCCTCCTAAGTTTGCCCACATTACCCCCGTGCTTCACTCACTACATTGGCTGCCAATACAGTATAGAATTAACTTCAAAATACTATTGTTTGTTTTTAAGGCCATGAATGGCCTTGCTCCGCCATACATATTGGATCTTCTCTCCGTCTATGTGCCACGCAGAACCCTGCGCTCCTCAAAACACCTGTCCCTGGTTGTTCCTTGGGCTAGGTACAAAAAATGGGGAGAACGCTCTTTTGCTGTGTATGGCCCCAGGCTTCGGAACTCCCTATCGCCAGAGCTTCGGGCCAAAACTGAGCTGGCGGCTTTTAAGTCAACTCTGAAAACCCATCTTTTTAGACAGGCCTTTGGTATTTAGCTCGTTCTAATCTTAACTTGTTTTTTTCCTGTTGTTTTATGCTGTTTCTTATTCTGATAGGGATGTCTTTTATTTTTGGGTTTTTAATCATTTGTAGTTTATTTTGTATAGGTTTTTGTTTTAGTATTGTCTTGTATTAGTGCCCTTTTGTGACGCACTTTGGGCTCCTGCCGGGTTATAAAGTGCTATATAAATAAACTATTATTATTATTATTATTATTATATGATGTATTGTTCAATTACAACAACGGAGTAATGCTTACTCACCACTAGGCTGTTTCTCCATCCTTTTTTTTAACAAAATGTTTTTATAAGCAAAGCAACTCAAGTTGTCTGTTTTTTACTGTACCAATTGATTATTATAAAAATAAAAGCTTCCTGATTGTTTTTCCACATTAAAAGACTATCAATGAAGATAAAGGCTCTTAGTATGAAAATATAAGGGGAAGTGTTGAGTTGCATTCATGGTAGCTTAACATGGATCTATTACTGAAACCTGGAATCCAGATTACAAAATGGTGCTCAATTTTCCTAAAGAAACTGGTAACTTAGAACATTATGCCAAAAACGTTTGTTTCTTCTGGGTTTACTTCTGTGTTGTGTGGCCCACTGTACATGTGCATTAGTGTTTTCCCCATTGCCCCCACCCATGCACTCCCACTTGTTCCATAAGCTGTACATTGGGATGTTGTCATGAAAATAAAACTCTGAGAAAGTTTTGCAAAGATAAAAATACAATGGATAAAAAAAAAAATAGAAAAAGTGATAACTAACTATGTTTGCAGTTTGAGGTGTCCTGTCAGCAGTTTTACAGATGTTGTAAAGCTGTGGTGTATGGAGAAATTTTTTTTGGGCTCCAGGGGATTTTTCTTTGCAGTACCTCAAGTGGCCATTAAAAAAATCGACTGAATGGCAAGGCCAAATTCATGTGTTCTGTTATCTTTCTGTCAAATTAGATCTCTGTCATCATGGTGCCAATCATTATGTTCTAATTAGCATGTATCATGTCATGTATGTTCATCCTTATTCTGTGTGTTAAGATAAGATAAACCTTTATTAGTCCCACAACGGCAAAATCCACACTGTTACAGCAGCAAAGTGATAGAAAGGTGTGTGCTCGGTCTATCCCTTGTCATGACTAACAAGGAGCAGAAGACAGGCAAGACATGCAGGAGTTGAACTTATGCTCATGTCAGCACTAAAAATGATAAATGTTCCAATTTAACTATGCAGGGCTCGATCCAGCTGCAGTAACACAGGAAACCAATGTTTATTTAACTGCATCATCATGACCCACTGTGTCATTAAAATGTCATTAGTGTTTATGATTGTATGATTAAAGGTCCCAGATGTCTGTAAGAATACATTTAAGCAGGATGCAAGGATGAGTGTGTGTTCAGAAACAGTGACCATGCTGTATGTCCTAATTGTCTAAATAGGATAGTTAAACTCATCCCGTTCAAGAAGGTATAAAATGCCTGCACCTGTCTTTGTCTTCAGTTGCTCCTATAGGATGGCTCAGTTTATTCTGTAACCTGCATTTGTAGCAAAATAAACCAGTGTGGCTTGACCTGTTCACCAATCTGTCTCTTCTTTCTCATCATAGTTTGTTCTTTGTAGGGATGCGGTGCCCTACCACCTTTATCTTGGCAAAAGTCAAAGCTAATGGTTTAAGTCTCAAGGCAGCCTGAGATCACAGAAAAAAGCCACCACAATTTATAAAGCAAAATCTTTGGCATAGCAGGTGGGTGTACTTAAGTGACAAGTCAACAATCTTAGTATACATGAGAAGATGAACACCAACTATTGTTACCTGAAGAAGTAGAACGTTACAAGCATTACAGTTCCCAGAACAGCTCCCACTATGACTCCAGTCAAAGCTGATACTCCCAATCCACCTGTTTGAGAGAGCAGTTATTGGTTTAAACATGTACTTCATCATAAATACTTTGGATAACATAATAAATTCCAAGTCAAATTTTGTAGGTTTAAGGCATAGGAGTGTACATTTACATGATTTGTCTGACATCTCCGTGTGTGCTTTATGTCTTCCTCTTAGAGTGAAACTGTCACTGTTGAAGGCAGGCAGCAGCTGAAAAGTTCCATTCACACCAAAGTAGTTGGCAACCACCTGTAAGTTAGTATACCATATTAACATCTACCTGAATTTCCACAAGTGTGTACATTCTTCTGCCTGTCAGGGATGACATTAGCACCATAGGAATGTCTCATCACAGTAGTGCAATTTTGCTTCTTCTTACCTCATAGGTTCCTGCCTCAATGTTGGTCATGGCCATCAAAGAAAAATCACCATTTCTGTCACCATTGACATCCATGGATACCTGGCCAGCAATTCCTGTTCATCACCAAGAATGAGAACACTGCTTATAATTACATTCCAAAGAACACAAAGGAAAAAAGTTTGTCTAAAGTGTATCCTTGGAAAGGGCTTTAAAATGTCACTTGAGAGGTATTTAAAGGTCAACTGAAGTGCAAACATTAAATGTGGTTAATATTTTACTTTGACAAACCATCAACTGACAACATTGATCAAAGTAAAGAGCATGACAAAAGTGCTTCTGACACAATGAATGTGAGTCAGAAGAAACGCCAGACTTCACAGAGTACAAAATTGTTCATCTTCTTTAGCCTTCGCTCTCAACTAATATAGCAATATAAGAAAATGATCTGTCCTGGCTAGTGAATGAACAATAATTCTAAACTCTAAAACAACAGCAATCATGGTAAAATCATTTTAAAATTCCACTAGCATTGCTTACCAAAAAATTACTCAGATCCTTTCAGTTATTCAGGCTGATACATTCTTCGTGTTCTGTCTAGTTTAAGAATGTTGCATTAGGCTTGGAAACCACCATATATATAGTGTAATACTTGGAAGTACAGGGCCGATCTAGGCTTTTGTCCTGTCTCAACCAACGTCTGTGGCACTTTCGGTTCAGTGGCTGTCAATGTGTATGTACAATGTTCTTCCGTAAGGCAACAAGTAAAAAAGATAAGACTGAAAAAACAACAAATGTGCTTACAAGAAAAAGGGCTGTGCATTAGGAAAATAAGAAAGTACTTATAAAATATATGTGCATATACACCCAGTTTAGATAAGAGTTTTCAGATAGATATATACAAAGACATATTTGCAAGGTATTGCAGTGAGGGTCGTCATTCTGTTATACTGTCATGGGCAAACTGTTCTTCAGAGTGATGGCCCGGGGGAAGACACTGTCTTATGTCTGGTTGTTTTGGTGTACAGTGACCTGTAGCACTGTCCAGAGGGGAGGAGTTCAAACAGATTGTGTCCAGGGTGTGAGGGATCTGCAGTGATCCTCTCTGCCCTCTTTTTGACTCGTGAGGTATACAGGTCCTCCATGGAGGGCAGGCTTGCACCGTGATTCTTTCTGCAGTCCTGACTGTCTGCTGGAGTCTGTTCCTGACAATTTGTTTGCCAAGTCAAACCAGACAGTGATGGAGGTGCAGAGAATAGACTCGATGATTCTTCTGTAGATCTGTATCAGCAGCTCCTGGGGCAGGTTGAACTTTGTGAGCTGGCGCAGGAAGCACATCCTCTGCTGTGCCTTCTTGGTGATGGTCCTGATGTTGGACGTCCACTTCAGGTCCTGGGAGATAGTGGAGCCCAGGAACTTGATGCTACTGCTGATACAGTGCTGCTGAATATGGTGAGGGGTGGTAGCGTGGGGGAGCTCCTACTGAAGTCCAGTCATTTCCACTGTTCTGAGCATGTTCAGCTCCAGGTTGTTGCGACCACACCAGCTGTTCAAGCTCCTGTCTGTGTACAGACTCATCCCCATCTTGGATGAGACTGATGACCTTTGTGTCATCTGTGAACTGAGCTGTGATGATTTATAACTGTTTGGTTCTGCCTACTTTTGACATCTTGCTTCCACCTAGATCAAAGGGCTGACATACATACTACATATATCAAAGGGTTTTGCATATCTGCGTTACTTTTCTACAGCAGAACACTTTATTATAGGTTTTATATTAGCATTATTGGATTTTATTGGGGCTTCCCATGGGGAAATAGGACTGAAGACCATCTGCATCTATAGTTCGTACAGTCGATAAATTAGTTCTGACTGTACATACTGTAGATACTGTGCACTCTGCATTGCTGTTATTGCACTTCTGGTTAGATGCTAAACTGTATTTCGCTGCCTTGTACTTGTACATGGGTAATGACAATAAAGTTGAATCTAATCTAATCTAATAAAGTCTTCTTTCTTGTGGGAATACGCAACACCACCACAGACTAAGTTTAATACAACAAAAGGGTTTATTACATTAGGTCTGAGCAGTGGCACACATACATAGACTGATGTTTTCTGAAGACTCAAGATTTTTATTTGCCATTTATCCATAAACAGACAGTCTAGGCATATAATAATTCTTGTGCAACTCACCTTTGGAGTCAGGTAAGGAGTCAAAATCCAGAAAGAACACTTAGTCTTAAAATAAAAAGTTATATAAGGGTGGCAAAGTGTTAAAACACAATACACAAAAATAGAGTAATAGTATTTCCCACAGTGAACTTCAAACATCACACTTAGTAATTCAAATGGTGGAGTTGGATATGGCATTACGCTTGGTGAGGTAGTGAGGGGTTATTGCACATATATTCTCACATTTCTCACATTTTCGTATTTGCCATCAGTCTTACTGCGGCAGGGAAAAAGCTGTTGTAAAGTCTAGTTCTGTGTGTGATGATACTGTCCACGCTGCTGTGCCTGAGGCTGTAGGTGCAGTTTTTGTGTCTGAGCAGGGAGTGAGCTGGGTGGTGTGGATCTCTGAGTATGTTTGTGCCCTTTTACGACAGTGCTGTGTGTACAGTGTGTCCATAGCAGGCAGTTCAGTCCCAGTGATCCTCTCTGCAGTCTTCATGACCCTTTGAAGAGCCTTCCTCTCTGCCTGTGTGGTGTTACCATACCAGACTGTGATGCCAGTAGTGAGGATGAAGACCAATAGGTATAAAACTTAAGGTTTTCTCTTTTCAAAATTCAATAATTGAATTTAAGATTAATTCAAATTATAAAATGTATAATCCTTTACAAAAAGCAAGTGTTTCATCTCCATTGTATGGGCTAGTTTAGTTTTAAGGAAGTCCAACCAAAAGGATTTTGATGCAGGTAAAACTCTAAAGATTGAGAGATTGAAGAAATACAACTGAATCCAATTTAAAATTAAAATAAATATTAATCAAAATAGGATTAGAAAAAGCAAGTGTTTCTCCCCCACATAGTTCAGCCAGATAGTTTTGATAGATTATTGGATGAAATCATAATTTAAATAAAATTTTTAGGGAATAAAAGCTAGTGTTTCTGCTCAATAGTTAGGTTTCTCTCTAAGTAACAGTAGAGAAACTGTTACCAGTTAAAAGAGAAATATAACACTCTAAACATGGGGTATTTTGGAAGGCCCCCACATTTAACTAAACAACAGTTTAAATCCTACCATTTCAATTTTCTCTACAGACAGTGCATTAACAGGCATGCAGAGTTTTTAACAAAAGACAAAATCTTACCGGCACATCCCATAAGTAATGAAGTTAAAGCCAATGTATATAGCGAGAGTCTGACAAAAACATTGGTGATCATAACCTCGCTCCCCAGGGTCCACCATCTAAAATGGCAGCAAGGTCTTAGGCTCCCATCCGCTCTTCTGCGGGCCTGTGTACTGGTGTCCTTGCGGTCTTTTTCCCCAGAATGTAGCATTCCATTGGCAGTCCATTCAAACTATGCTATTCTCCGCACCCCAAAACAGAATCAGCAGAGCACAGAGTCCGAGCTGCCTGGAGCAGCAACAGTCAACACTGGTGTAATTCCTCATGCGTAGGCAAACAGCTGTTTCCACAAAGGTGGGTAAACACAATCCCTCTGCATGATAGGTTTGATTGTAACCACAGACAGAGTGCCAGTGTAGCAGGCATTGGGGATAAAAAAATAGACGATATATTTCTCCAGACTGGGTAACCCATGTACTTCCTCATTTCTGTAAGATAAAGTATATAACTTATGATTTTTAATTCAAAATTGCCAAGATATCTGTGTTTACATGCTTGTAACGAAACACACATACTTCCCGTTTTCCTGGCAGCCCTAGGTTACCCCCAGAGAGACACCTCTGCCCCCTATTTAAAATAAAACCAGCTAAACTGCTCATTTAAAAGGTATTTTGTTTTGTAAAAAGAAGGAAAATTCATACATTTTAAAAAGATATTGTTTTATTAATTAGATTGTATGTTTTATAGTACATAATGATTAAAGAATGGTGACTTTATCCACCATAACATCTAGTTCTTATCATTAGGGTGTAATACTTGCTCCAATGATAGAGAGGCAGATGATTCAACAGGAAACAGTAGAAAAAGAAGTGGTTGCCAGCTAAAGGTTTTTAATTCAAAGATTTAACCTGTACAGATATGGATATATGTTTTCATGTCTGCAATGAAACAGGAGGGTCTTCTATTTTACTATGGTTGACCTGCAGGCTTTCAATGATGCCCAGTGAGAACATCATTTAGAGCTGCATACACGAGTGTCTGGAATGACATTGTACAAATGTAAAATAAAATTTTTGTGGTGATGATTCCGTACATGTACGTTGTGATCAGATCATCATCCACCTTTTAAAGGTTTTAGGTGATGATAGCCTGTATTTGAAAAAACAGTGTGTCTGATTTTAATATTTAATGGCCACTGTACAATAACTGACACCATAGCACCATCATATGCTCTTTCATGCTACACTACAAGCCATGCAGGCTTTGACATCAGTACTTTTTTAGGGAAAAGAACTTTTTACTCCACTACATTGATTATTATTATTATTATTACACCCTAATGGAAATGCAGGCTATTCTTTGACAGTCTCTCACTCTCAGTACGTAGGTGGTGTTTGTCATTGACTTTGTCATTTGTATGGATATTTTATTTTGTTTTATTTTACTGAATACTGACAGATTCATATACTGTAATGTGTGAACCTTTGTCTCACTTAGATGAGTCTATATAACCCACACAGTAACAGCTTCCCAAAGTGTTTACAGAAACATAGTACATTTGTCAGCATTAGGTGCATGAGTAAGGTGAATGAGTGATAATAGGGGCACAGAGAGAAGAAGAGACATTCTACTGCGCATACACTATTCCAACATTGGAGAGAGTATTTCATTGCACTGAAGTAATGTTATGTTACTTTCTACTTTTACTCAAGTAATCAGAGTACCACTCCAACAACTACGGTTCTTTTCAAACATTCAGCATTGATTCTGATGTTACACTGTTTTATCTTTCTGTACCCCCTGTCTAACATGCTTGTAACTGA